ACATAGATTTTTGTGCTTACGTTAAGACTAATTACTACGAATATTATTAGTAAATAGTTATAATTAGCAAGCAAAATAAGTTTTAAGAGAGGCACATAGCGTTGGATTTGGAATTTCCTTACATTGTTCTTCATTTGCCCGGCGTTTGTATTCGCATTAAATTTGTAGTTCAGAAATTTTTTAACACGTTACATTTTCTTGGGGTAAAGAGTTGGTTATATAACTTTATTCCCTATAAACTCCCCCTGCATTTCTAGATATGTTAATTGGTAAAATCAAAAACAGCAAATACACTTGCATATGTATTATATCGTATAAACTGGACCTTGTTTGGGTCATTTACCATAGCAATAGCACCCACGTGTTAATACAAATAAAAAATTATCTTTGTGCAAAATTTCATCCAAGCAAACTAAAACTGAAATTATAAATAGTATTGATTTACTGTGTAGAAAGAAGAGTTAAATATCAGTGACATTTTATATTTTTTATAATTGTTACAACACAATACGAATATGATTGAATTCAATAGTAAACCTAAATAATCTTTATGTATTTTTTACGTAGGTATAATAGTTTTTTTTCTTTATTTCAAAATATATGTACGTATTATGTAAATCAGATTTTTTTATTTATATAGGTAAATGAGAAGCTACTTATTAGGTATGCGATGCAAAATAACAATTTAATGACCTTCGATAAGCCTCGATGAGCTACTGAGCTATCCAAGGATTTCGTTACGCCCCCTGATAATCACATCAAATACTATATTGTTTCATAATCAGATCAAATACTATATTGTATTATCTTAAGTACTTTTGTCAAATTGTTACGATAATCAACTGTATATAGCTTCCAAGATTTGTTAACATTTACAAGTGAATCTATCAAAGGCGTCAAAAATATATTCCGGAAATCATTAACAGTTTTTCAGACCGAAGAGAAAATTTTGTTAAAAATAATTAGTGTAATAAAACCTGAACACGGTTTGCTTAGATACACTCAACTGTTTGAACACATGTCTCTTATTTCCTACAGACCAAAATAAACGATGCATTTTATTCGACATAAACGGTTTACGGCATAGACGAGAGCGGAAATAGAAGTCAGTATTGGATGCGGAAATGGCGTTCGTCGGGAAAGGCCAGACATGCTCGGTATTTGCCGGTATTATTTGATTTGCGTCGTCGTCGACAACCACCCCACAACCGCCATGGATTGATTGAAATAATGGAATCAAAGGAAGGAAGGAATTAAAGGTTGCAAAGTAATTAACTACACTACCTTGATAAGAGAAAAAAGAATATTTTAAAAGTTAAACATATAACATAACATAAATAATTTCATTATCTGTTGGCAATTGATTGATTTGGAAGATTGTTCACGAGAAAGTTATTCAGGAAGGCCACAACTCTCAATTGAGGATTATCGACGCAAGGACGGGAGGAGTTGGCGTTTTAGTAAATGAAAAAAGAATCGATAAGTCTTGCAGAGATTCATCATTATCAGTTTATGTTTTTGGGTGTTAAATCTTGGGTATTGTTCTTCACAATTAATGTATACGAGGAATGAATTACAAGTAGGTTTATGTAACTAACATGAGACATATTAAAGTGCATGTACATATAATATGTAGTTCAATCGTGCATATTAATACTTGTTTTATTCTCAAACTGAGGTTTTTAGTATTGTAGCAAAAGTAACCATGAAATAGATAAAGCATGTTACAAGTTTATATCCAACTTGTGAATATTTATATCAGACTTGTGAATATTTATATCAACCGTTTTTACGAATCTATTCCACTTCGATAAAGCGGCACGACACGAGAACCCTCTCATCGTGGCTGCCGGTAACTACATTCCCGATCCTGCGGAAAGAATGGAAAGCAGTCGACGTCGCCCCAAACACGTCATCTCGGATCCTCCCGATCCACTAACGGTGCTTTTAGGTACCTCAAGCACCGGTAACCGTTCTCGTTGAACCCGTCGTTTGCGACGAAGGTCTCGACGAGTAAATTAACCCTCAGACATAGCCCACTGAGTTTCTCGCCGGATCTTCTCAGTGGGTCGCGTTTCCAATACGGTGGTAGATTTTGCGAAGCACGGCTCTTGCTAGGGTTCGTGTTAGCAACGTCTTCAGGTTTGAGCCCCGTGAGCTCACCTACTAGTTAAGGTTACGCTAGAATAGCCTCTCAAGGCTACCACCTAGGTAGGAAGAAAAAAAAGAGGAAAAAAACGAATCTATTTAGTTAATTGTACGCTTCTGAGTCTGATATGTATAATACAATTGAACGACTCGTATATCATGTGGAAGTATATATGTAAACAGCAATAACGACAATTTATACGAACATTGCACCCGGCATATCTGAACTGAGCGCAGATATAAATCACGGAGGCCCAGACTACATCAGCAAATGCAATTCTGATCGCAATTAAATCCGTGTTGTGAATTACATTCTCGGATATAGAGTTTAAAAACGATGCTGTTTTTGTTTTGTTTTTTTTAAGCATTCATTCGGTGACATTATGCGATATTTTTTTTCAAATTACAATACGATTCTGTAACAAATAGTTTTTTTTTATTGCTTAGATGGGTGGACGAGCTCACAGCCCACCTGGTGTTAAGTGGTTACTGGAGACCATAGACAACTGCAACGTAAATGCGCCATCCACCTTGAGATATAAGTTCTAAGGTCTCCGTATAGTTATAACGGCAGCCCCACCCTTCAAACTGAAACGCAATACTGCTTCACGACAGAAATAGGCAGGTCGGCAGGTCTGAGAATTCGCGAATACCGCAGTTACATACCATAATAAATGAAAAAAATCACGATGATACAAATTTAACAACGTTTATTGAATTATTGTGGCCTGTGATAATTACGGAATTTGAAAATTTAATATTATTTATGTTTTTCCTTTGTTTATCTAAATAGGCCGACCAGGGTTCGCTTCATATAGTTATGGGAGTAGACATGTATACTGAAATATACATAATATGTTGCCAGGATCCGTGAGATTAAAGTCTCAATTATACTGCTTAACGAATGTCCTTGAATGCTTCGGTGTTCTATAGCAGAAAAGAAGCGAGTTGAGTCATTTCTTCACTAACCTATTCATGATCACAGCCTACCACCAAAAGGCCGTTAAAATTATCTTGTACTAGCAAAATTGATTTTCTTTTATCAGATCAATTAGTGGAATTAGAGATGAATTTCAGCTTTAACAGATTTTTATTAACGTTATCGATGGAAATAACTTAAACAGCCACGATAGAACCCAATTTGAGGCCAATTTTACTTCAAACAATTTAAAAAATTAATTGAAAAGTTAAGGTTTTGTTTCATAACCTCAAAAATAGCTCATATATACTTCACAAACGTTATTCGTGATTATAGAAATCGCGTGTTACAAAATATAAAATACATTTAATTCTCGAAGCCTTAAAAATTTGCATAATGGCTTAACAGTATACGAAAATTAGTCGGAGAGTTCTTAAATGTGATCTACTTTGCTAGTGTAGAAAAACTTGTTAATTTATTCATATTTATCAGATACTAGCGACCCGCCCTCGCTTCGCTTCAGAAACATTAAAACACACATGAAACCAAAAAAATAAAATAAAAAAAATTAAAAAAAAAGTAGCCTATGTTCATCAGGGACAATGTCGGCTTCTAATGGAAAAAGAATTTTTCAAATCGGTCCAGTAGTTTCGGAGCCTATTCGAAACAAACAAACAAACAAATCTTTCCTCTTTATAATATTATAAATATAAATATAAATATTAGTATAGACAATCTTATGTGTAGATACTTGTGAATTCAAGATTTAAAATCGTATACAGTTTCTCGTTGTCATTCCTGGAAGTGGCTTAAGGGGTGTGCAGACATTTGGTTTTTTAATTAAAAGAGACAGGCGGATCTTAATTAAAACGGGAGCTAAGCGAGCTTCGGAGAAAGCTCCGTAATATTATTACCTCTATATCATACGAGCCGAGTATTACGAGGAAACCAGACCGGTTTTCTTGTTTTTTTCCTCATAAGGCTTCGTTTTTTTTTTTATGACAAGCGTCTGCGGTCTTGACTGAAGTTGCAACGTCCGCAGAATCAAAAATAATAATCTATGTTGCTATAACGGAGCTTAGGATATATTTGCAATCTATTTCGCGGGTTCTGTTCTTTATTCAAGTGACGAACAGGTCTGTTTGCTGTTTATCTGGGTTTAAATATCTTCATAATATTATATGTTTGTTTTTTATTGCTTAGATGGGTGGACGAGCTCACAGCCCACCTGCTGTTAAGTGGTTACTGGAGCCTTAGACATTTACAACGCAAACTCGCCACCCACCTAGAGATATAAGCTCTAAAGTTTCAATATAGTTACAACGGCTGCCCCACACTTCAAGCCGAAACGCATTACTGTTTCACGGCAGAGATAGGCGGGGTGGTTGTACCTACCCGTACGGACTCACATGAGGTCCTACCACCAGTAAAACAATAAATAATAATAATAAATAAATATTTACTAACAGTCACGCCACGTTAACTGGTCCCGTGATAAGTTCGTAAAGAACTTGTGTTACAGGTACCAGATAACGGAAATAAATATAAGATTTTTATTATACACATATACATATTTAATATACATCCATAACCCTGGAAAAGACATTTATATTTATCATACAAATATCTTCCCTTGGCAGGATTCGAACCCGCGAACCCCTTGTGTAGTGACCATGTCACTTACCACTACACCAGACGGCGTACATAAATGTATATGTTTAAATGTATATCAAACTACTCTATATCAGTTTCTGCTTCCCATGGTTCAGGAAATCCTGGTTTGGGTTACGGTGATTGTGTGTGTGATTTACGTTCGATTATGTTATTAATTTATTCATTTTTTTTTAATTTTTCAATGTTCTCAGATGGAATAGTGCGCCATATAATCATTGTGGTATATTAGGTTCAATGATTTTTTTTTCTAATGTTGCAGCTGTTACTCTATACCGGCGAACAACATGTCTGGTGGTTCTCATGTGTCGCGAACTACATTCGGCGGAGCCGACTCCGAGATGTCCAGTGGTAGTGCTCCACCGCTTCCCAGTCCAGCATCGGCTGGAGCCGCACTAGTCTCGCCAGAAACTTTAAGCAGACACAGCAGTCCGCCCCCGCTACCTCCTCATCCGTCGCACCAGCATCCGGCGCCATCTTGTTCCTCTCATCGGGTGCATATGGAGTCGCCCTTACGGTATGTTTCTTCCGTTTGAAAGAAAATGAGAGATTTTTTTTTTAATAATAAACTAAGCTGCACTTGATATAATCACAGACGTGGATGGGTTTTTTATCCGTAGATGGGTGCACAAACTCTTGATCCACCTGGTACTAACTGGCCCATAGACATCAACGTGAATGCAGCCATCTTCCTTGAGACATGATGTAGAGAGTTTTACAATAAACTCAGGCACTAATAAAAAAAAGTATCTTTAATGTGTGTGCTACATTAATTAATGAAGATTTAATAAATTATAAAATCGGCAATTTACTTGTGTTAGGTTATGCTCTCAACACGCACTAATCTGCATTTTCAAATTAATATCTCCCTTTTATGGTTAGTGATAGTCGTTTTGGTTATGATAATAAAATTCTATGATGTTATGCTATGATGATTTATGATGATAAAATTGAGACTTCGAACATCATCTCTCTGGGTGGGTATAAAATCAGGCCTGTTCAAATCAGTCTAGCGTCAGGTTTACACAAGAATAACCAAGCGAGAAATCACATCAGCAAGAAAGATTTTATTACCATTATATACCTATTTTAATTAAATCTTGATTGTCGATCGACTGAATAATTGAAATAAACAATCTTACAAAGTGTTCTGCTTACCGGAGCCCATAGACATTCTACAATGTACATGTCGCCATCCACTTTGAGATATGAGTTCTAAGGTCTCTGTATAGTTACAACGGCAGCCCCAACCTCCAAACCGAAACGCATTACTGCTTCTCGGCAGAAATAGGCAGGGTGGTGGTACCTACCCGTGCGGACTCACAAGACGTCCTACCACCAGTAAAAATCATATATCACCACATCTCTCATACTGTATATTACTCGTAGTCCTAGTCCAAATTCTAAAAAACCTGTTCCCTAATAAAATAAAAAATTATATCGATTGTGTGTTGTCAGTTTGAACCAAATGATTGTTTACAAGAATAAAAGAAATATTCGTTCCGTTATGTAATATGTTTCTTTTATAAATCAAACGTTCATCATTCATTTTCCGTCCAATTTACAACACCTTTGTGCTCAGACAAGATGCACGTAAGACAAAGAAAACCTTTGTTCTTCCACAGACTCGTTACATAGTCAAATGAACGCCTTCTTGAATTTAATGTGACAATATTGTAGACAGACGTGCAAATACGCCTGCCTCTAATGAACTGCGGCTGCGGAACGACACTGAAGATGCTGATTTATGTAGGAAATGAGTAGAGGGATACACATTTGAAATTTGACAACAGCGAGCAGCTATCATAGTTTTTTTTGTGTTGTAAAATGTTGATCGTAAAGATTGATTTGATGCTAAGCCACTTGGCCTTTCGATTTATCTACGTGATTTGAATAGAGGGGCTTACCGTTATGCGCATGATTACTAGCTTTATTACCTTAATATATTTAAGATTCGGGGTCTGTATGTAAATGTGTAAATGTTTTAATCTCATATGTATGTTTCCATGACCTGTAATACAGGATGAAATTCCTAGCTTAGGGCTGTATAATTTTGATGCTATAAAGATACATAAATCAATTACATACATTTGAGCATTCACTAGGTATTACAATTTATTTCTTCGCTTTCTTGAGGTAATGCGTTCGTCGCTTTTCATGGAATGGAACTTTCCTCATTCCATCTATACCTTTAAAATTTTTTGCTTTTTGACAACAGATGGGATTAATCGTACCGCCTTAACATTCAAGAAATGTCCCAGAACATTCAAGAAATATCCTAGTTTTTTCGATAAACATTTCTGCTATTAGAGGATAGATGGCGTTACTCGTTCAGGCGCAGTTTATCCGAGATTAACTCATAACTAAAAAATTAAACAAGTTGGAAAACAGAAATAAAATTTAAATAGCTATGAATTTATTTTATCCCGCACTGCCGTTTTAATAAATCGGATTAATTTGAATCCCTTACATGTTGAGGGCCTTGGCAATTATGATTCTCATCATTGTTTCTCGTCATCTCATTGCGATATTACGTTAAATTTATTCTAAACCTACAACGGTTTCAATTTCATTTGTTTCACATTACAAAACTTGTACCTGCCCGCGGAATTTGTCTTCATTAGATTTGGTTTCATTCTAATTGCAACGCATGATTGATACGCGACAGAAACAGGCAAAATAGATTAAATGGTAGCACCCGTGACATTGTGCCGGATTTCATTTTTATTTATCGTGGTAGTCTTTTGTGAACACGGGTTTGTTTGAGTATTTCAAGCCTAATTGCTATATAAGAGTTTTCTTATAAGAGTATTTGATGTAAGGGAATTGGGAACGAAGACAGATGGGTAGTGTTAGTGCTTCTCGACTAAAACGTTAAAATACTGTTAACCTTTCAACGCACCACTTAATCAACAACGCGTGAACTCATAGATCAATACAATTATCAATATCGTTTTCTGATGACTAGTCTATCAGTTGTACAAAAAGTCTTATTTAGAAAAAGGTATTGGACAAGAAGTTTTTAATTGAAACTGTTATCGTTAGATGACCGTAAAATAAGTTACGAATAACCCCAGCCAGTGCACTAATGAGATTCGGGCAGTTAACTAACTTAGAACCCTCGTCAACTAATACGACCAGGGATGTCGCCTTTATCAAATTTACTTAATCCAAGTTTGTATGTATACCACATCCGGACGTTTCTTTGTTCGTAAGTTCTATTTCTAACAACAAATTTTCTGTAGAATATTTCATTTTGTGCATTACAAAATCCTACACAAATGTTTTAAAGATGCCGCTAAAATTAATGTAAGATGCCTGAAAAAATGTTTTTTTTTTATTTTTATTTTTTTGCTTATTTGGGTGCAGGAGCTCACAGCCCACCTGGTGTTAAGTGGTTACTGGAGCCCATAGACATCTACGACGTCGATGCGCCACCCACCTTGAGATATGAGTTCTAAGGTCTCAGTATAGTTACAACGGCTGCCCTAACCTTCAAACCGAAACGCATTACTGCTTCACGGCAGAAATAGGCAGGGTGGTGGTACCTACCCGCGCGGACTCATAAGAGGTTCTACCACCAGTGCTCATTTAAATATGTTTCGTTGTGCTTTTAACGCTTAAAAAAATCGATCACAGTTTTGATACCTTTATGCTTGTTATTTTTCTGACAGGATGTCCAGTGCTCCATCGATGAACTTGGGTGGTTCATTGTCGCTACAACCCATGCTGTACGGAGCTGCGAGCGCTGGTTCGGCTCACGTTCCTCTGCCGCCAACGAGACGCTCACCACGACCTTCCAACACTATACAGCAGATGCACGTTATAAGCGCGTGAGTATGCTTTAACCAACTTTTTCCATGGGGAGTGCTCCGGGGAATTGTTTGAGATGATCCTCTCATCTCCTTTTTATCATCGCACCTCCCACCATCGGAGCAGAGTTCATCCATATTATCTGGAACCGCTGCGTTCATCGACAGTGCGTTTCCGAGGTTTTTTTGCCATCCGGCTATGGAATGAGCTCCCCTCCACGGTGTTTCCCGAGCGCTATGACATGTCCTTCTTTAGAAAAGGCTTGTGGAGAGTATTGAGCGGTAGGCAGCGGCTTGGCTCTGCCCCTGGCATTGCTGAATTCCATGGGCGACGGTAACCATTCACCATCAGGTGGGCCGTATGCTCGTCTGCCTACAAGGGCAATAAAAAAAACCACCTCACTGGTATTGTCATGACTTATTGATCCTTATACTTGATTCACTTAGGAATGGTCTCTGTACATAACAATGTATGCATCATTTATATCTCTGTCCTTATCGATAGTTTTCGTGAAAATAAAACATCATATTTATCCAAGTGGACAAATAAGCAGGTAGGCATCGACTTGGATATACCCCTGGCATTCCTAAAGTCCAATAGCGACGGTAACTACTTACCTTCAAGTAGACCGTATGCTCGTCTGCTTACAAGGGCAATAAAAAAAATTTGAGCAGAATGAGTAAGTTTTTCGTAAAGTAATACTCAAGTACCCTGTTAGTGTTAAGAATTTTATAAATTATTATAATAGTTTATACTCATCGTTAAAGGTATATAAGTATATTTATTTAATGAAGAAATATTATAGGGTCTATGAAATATGTATAATTAAAATTTAAAGGAATATATTTAAAATTTCATTCAAATGTTATAAAAAAATCTTCATTTGTGATACAGTAGTACAGTATCAGCAATGGCCTAAGATATTAGTGATTTTTTTCCACCATGCGAGACTGAACTAAATACTTTTAACCAACATATCAACCGCATTCTTTTTATCCTGTAATTATAATAAATTACGACAAGAATTTTAATTACCGACATTAATTCCAGTAAGCCCTTCTAAGATATCGAATGCAGCACTATAATTATCCTATTGTTGGCTATATTCGGAAGCCCTTCCTAAGCCTCTAATGCGTTTCGAAGTGCTGTGAAATTTGTTTGTGGAAAGCATCAAATTAGAAAATATGTTATTTATACGATGCTTTGTTTAATGTTAAATAATAATTGTTATGTTTAACTCTTCTACTTATAATGTTTATGGCTAAGAGTGAAGATAGTTTTGTTATTGAATTGTAAAAGCGATTCCCGTGTTTTGTTTTCCGTCGCTCAAACGTGATGTCGAAATTTAAATGCACTTTGTTTGGTGTAAGAGTAATAGTTTTAATAGTACAGGATCCCTGATACACTTTTCATAATTGATTACTATCAAGCTGATTTTTCGTGAGTAGCTTCCTTTTGACTAGACGCCCAACTTTTTTCCTTACAGTAACGTTGGTAAATGGTAGCTTCCTAGGAGTAGCACGGATAGAATATGTTGATTTCACGAATTTAAAAAAATTATTACTAATCGAATTTTTCTTTGTTAATTATAGAGATAATTATCTAAATAACGTGAAAAAATATTTGTCCTACAAAATATAAGGTTTTGTTAGGGAGTCCCCCCTCTCCAACATGTATCATAAACAAGGTAATGAAAAATAATTACTAACCAGCTGATTTTTTTTTTATTGGTTAGCTAACATTTGCATGGTTCACCACCCACATTGTCCTACAGATTGCGTGGTATGTCGTCTTGGTCCTACGCTCAAAAGTTGTAGTACTAATACGTAATGAAAAATAATTACTATCAAGCTGAATGTTCGAGAATAGCTTCGTTTCAATGAGACGCCCTACTAATTCTTTTACGAAAATTCTCGATTGTGGCTTATAACTACGATAATAGGGATGAAATATGTTGATTTGACGAATTCTTTTTTTTATTACTAACATAATAATATAGCAGGTCTATTGATTCTAGTTGTAAATCCCAAAATACTATATTTTCAAACAGAACTAAACAGTGACAAGAACAAATCAGAAGATACGAAACTTCCGTGAATTCCTTGTGAATTGTATCTAACTAGATCCGGATCCAATAAATCGGCATTCCCTTGTACGTGGACTTCGTTTATTTCACGATCCTTCGCTTCCGTCGAAAATGTGACGTCAGACAGCAATAAAGCTCATTTTATGCGAGAAAAAATTTGAAGAACACTCTCATTTTGAACAGGCAGGGTCGTACGTAAGCGCGTGGAGGCAATAATCTTTCTACGGTCTTGTGGCCCACTCGTAAATGTGAATATACGGCTCCTGTACTTATTTAATGCGGTACTAGAATGTAACAAACACGCGGATAGCTCCATAGGTTGTATATATATTATTGCCTTTGTAGGGTGACGAGCATACGGCCCACCTGATGTTAAGTGGTTACCGTCGCTCATGGACGTCAGCAATGCCAGGGGCAAAGCTAAGCTGCTGCCTACCACTAAGTACTCACCGCAAGCCTCGTTTGAAGAAGGACATGTCATAGCACTCGGAAAACACCGTGGAAGGGATTCATTCCAAAGCCGGATGGTGCGCGGCAAAAAAGATCTTAGGAAACGCACTGTCGATGAACGCAGCGGTTCTAGATAATATGGATGAACTCTGCTCCGATGGCGGGTGGTGCGATGATAAAAATGCGATGATTTTAAATTAATGAGTTTTTCCTTTGATAGGTAATTCCATATTCGTTCCCTGAGTCACGGATATCTAATGATATTTGTATTTTTGATATTAAAACGTATGAATATCAATCTCTCGCTTCTATAGTACACGGAATCCTAGTTTGGGGTCAGGTGACCGTGTGGGATTTGTTTCTGATTACATATCGACGCTTGAAAGGCAAACGTGACTAAGCGACAATGCGTGAACTTTACAGTAGACTAATTTAAAGTTGAAATAAGTGAAAAAAAAATATTTTAACGAATCTAGCTGTAGGATTGAAATGATTTTAATAGACCTAGAAATATATATTTTTTGCGCATCGAATATGGTTATTGCCTATCATTTATGTATAAAGCAGTTATTGTTGCTTAGTCACGTTTGCCTTTCAAGCGTCGATATCTACTTTTTTTTATTGTCGGATATCCCTATTAGGGCAACATTAGAAAGGTTACGATTCATATTTATAAATTAGCAATTTTTTTATATATGTATTTACGTATGTTATAGTATAGAAGAATTCGAAAGCGCCACGCATCTACTATTCATTTTCGACTTAGAGACTAGGTCGAAGTGAGCTTCCTAAAACGACAAGTTTTACCAAATGGAAATTGTTTTCCTTTTTTATATTGAGGAAGTTTATTTAAATACAGTAGGAATATACTTAACACAAAACAGCTTGACTAACATAAAGGAAAGATTAGGAATAGGCGGGTATTACGTGAAAACTTTTACAGTTGGTAATGCGTATTCTATGAGTTTACGGGTAGGTACTATTTTCTTGCTTATTTATGCCGCGAAGCTATCATGTATTGAGGTATGAAGGATAGGGATAAGATAGGGAAGAATAAAATGGAGATAGTCCTCGAATTATACTATTGAGACTTACTGACGGGTGGTAGGACCTCTTGTGAGTCCGCACGGGTTGGTAACACCACCCTGCCTATTTCTGCCATGAACCAGTAATGCGTTTCGGCTTGAAAGGTGGGGCAGCCGTTGTAACTATACTGAGACCTTAAACCTCATATCTTAAGGTGGGTGGCATTTACCTTGTATATGTCTATGGGCTCGGGTAACCAGTTAATACCAGGTGGGCTGTGAGCCCCTCCATCCATCTACGCAATAAATAAATAAAATATTACCTCATATCGATAAGTAGAAATCGCGTTCTGTCTATGGGCTCCGGTAACAGCTTAGCAATAGACGAGGCTCCATTGTCCATGTCAGCAAAAAAAAAAAACCGTTAAAAACTCCCCTCTGCAATCATTGGCCGAATGGTAAAATTGGCACAGTGAAAAATGTCCTCGTTTCTCTGTCGTGTAATAAATTACAAGAATACGTAAGTCTTGAGGTGGAGTGGTCTCGCCCCTCGCGAGTGCGGCGACCAGCACGTGGATATAATGTAATCGACATCACTTTTATTAGGGTTCCAGAACGGACGTATTAAATTCACTTCAAATATATCTATTGCCAGAAATAAAGGTTTCCGCAATAAAAAATTTTATACGTTCCACTCTTCGGTCAATTTTGAAATCGAGATGTTCGAATGCGTTTTGATTATAAGATAAAATTATAACTTTACACATATTATAATAGAGACAATGTTTTAGACTGGGCATATACAATTCAGTTCTCTTCTCTTCTATATCGTTCTCTCGCTACTGAGGATCGTGACCACATGCGACGNTAAAGGTTTCCGCAATAAAAAATTTTATACGTTCCACTCTTCGGTCAATTTTGAAATCGAGATGTTCGAATGCGTTTTGATTATAAGATAAAATTATAACTTTACACATATTATAATAGAGACAATGTTTTAGACTGGGCATATACAATTCAGTTCTCTTCTCTTCTATATCGTTCTCTCGCTACTGAGGATCGTGACCACATGCGACGTACTTCCAATGTGCTCGATCATGGGTGGCATGGACTGCATGGTACAGACTACCACTAAGTGCTTCTCTTCCTAGATCTGACCATCTGGCTGGTGTTCTGCCCACGGCGCGCTTAGTACAGCTTAGTTTAATTGATTAATAATTAATAATAATAATAATATTATAAAGAGGAATGATTTGTTTGTTTGTTTGTATTGAATAGGCTCCGAAACGACTGAACCGATTTGAAAAATTCTTATACTGTTTAGAAGCTACACTATTCCCGAGTGACATAGGCTATAATCTTTTTTGAAAAAAATTTGGGATCCTTACTAAAACTCCAATAATGTAACCTAAGATGTAAAAAATTACCTAAAATATTATTTACATCGTGTGCCCTGGGA